CTCGGAGTTTACCTCTCATCCGCACGATAGAACCAACCTACACTCAGGTCACAAGTCCTAGGAACTCCTCGGAGTTTCCCTCTCTTCCGCACGATAGAACCGGCACCGACTTTAAAACTACAAAAGTCCTGGGAACTGTGCGAGCAATTGAACCCACGACCACCAGAAGTAAGCTGCTGTGCTCAACCACTAAACACCGAGGCTGTTAAAAGATTAAAAATTTTACGTAATGGTAGATTTTATTACAAGAACGGACATACTCTATCTTTTATCTTTAAAAAAGCGGACGAAGTCACGGATAACAACTAAGCCCGTATGAACGCTATGGACTCACTTTCATGGAGCTATGAACATAGGGCGTGATTAATATAATTAAGAACGGTCATTCCAAGGATGACTATGACACATGGTTTTTATATTGATGGGATTTTATGACGGTTCACGGGGTTATTGTCCTCAAATATTACTATCAAAGCGGGAAGTCTAGTCTCTTAACAAGTAAGAATAGATTTGATTTAAGAAAAGAATATTTTACATGTAAAGATAATTTACGTGCCTATATTCTTAGTAATATTATAAATGCGAAAGTAAGTCTGTCTGTTGCGCGTTTCAGACACGCCAAAATTACTGAACCGATTTAAATGAAATTTGGTACACAGATAGTCTAGACCCTGACAAAGGACATAGGCTACTTTTTAATGTGAAAAAAGGGTTGCAAGGAGTTGAAAGGGAATATGAAAGGTTCTATGGAAGTATCGTCATTTTACGAGAACGAAGTCGCGGGTGCAGCTAGTAATAAGTATGTGTGCAAAATTCTACACTCCACCGTCCGCACAATCTTTGTAAAAAGAGGTACAAAGTTCTTGCTTTTATCTTTTCCTTACATAATATAAAAAGAAGTCGCTATCTTATGTCTGTTCCTCCCTTCGATCGATCCCCCGTCCAATTCAAACGGGGATCGATATTACGACGGCCTGAGCCGAGGTTCGAACCGCTAGCGGTGGGGGGGGAAATGGAATTGTTAGTAATGTGGACTCTACACCCCATTGCTAGCAATGTATGTAATCTCCCTGGAAACCATCGTGATAAATTCCAGATGAATTTATCACGATGTGCTAACTGACCTGACCTCACTCTCATCTTATTATCTTGCACTGGTGCCCCGCCAGCGTAAACCGTTAGCGAGGGCTCCATTCCATTATCATCCATAAAAAAAACACCTAGCGGGGCCCTCAGACTAAAGTCGTATCCGTCAGGCGGGAGTTGGCCTTCAGCCGCTCCATAAGTCCTTCCGCGGGTTTGGAGTGCCATCTGCACTCGCCCCCTATCGTCCGGTGAAGCTGTAAAGGCCAGCTGCGGCCAACAGCATTAGAGTAGCCCCAAAAAAAATGTCTGTTTGCTTAGATCTTTTAAACTACGCAACGGATTTTAATGCAGTTTTTAGCAATAGATAGAGTGATTCAAGAGGAAGGTTTATATGTATAATACATGTACACCTGTGCGAAGCCGGGGTGGGTAGCCAGTAGATAATAAAAATGCTTTGTAAGTCATATTAGCATATATTATTTAAAGAAAACAAAATCACTATTATAATCCGAAACCATACTTTTATGTTAACAAGGTTTTGGTTTAGGTTAGGTTTGGTTGGGTTATGCCCAGGGTAGGCAGTCCCCCAATCCAAAGGCCCCGGAGGTGTGCGCGTGTACCCACACGCCTCCACAATGGAGTAGGGCGAAATAGGTCGCCCTAACCACAAAACGAGATGGGGCCTGCCCTACAACATCTACAGGGCGGGCCGTCGCCGTCGGAGCTGGGGTAGAATGCACTTGCGAATCCCCTGGCTCCGGCATAGGCGCTCGTAGGTACACCGTGTGGTTTTTTAGTGGGTACAAGTCCCACACACCACCTCGCCATCCCTCCGGCGGGGTGACGGTCTTTTGAAGATTTTTCCACACGTTAAAAAAAAAAAAAAAGGGTTATGCCCAGGGTAAGGTTTATCTATCCAGCTAGGTAGATCCAATTTCGAGAAAGAGGTCAATCGTCGAATCCAACTCGGATGGGCAGCGTTCGGGAAGCTCCGATATATCTTTTCGTCCAAATTTCCGCAGTATCTCAAGACGAAGGTTTACGACCAATGTGTGTTGCCAGTGATGACTTACGGAACAGAGACGTGGTCGCTAACTATGAGCTCCATCAACAAGCTCAGAGTCACTCAGAGGGCAATGGAGAGGGCTATGCTCGGAGTTACTCTGCGTGATCGAATCAGAAATCAGAAGAACCAGAGTGACCGACATAGCCCGAAGAATTGCGACTCTGAAGTGGCAATGGACAGGGCACATAGCTCGTAGGACAGATGGCCGTTGGGGCAGTAAAGTCCTCGAGTGGCGACCACGAACCGGAAGACGCAGCGTGGGAAGGCCTCCAGCAAGGTGGACCGACGATCTGGTCAAGATCGCTGGAAGGCATTGGATGCGAGCAGCGCAGGACCGATCGTCGTGGAGATCTTTGGGGGAGGCCTATGTCCAACAGTGGACGTCTTCCGGGCTGCGATGATGATGATGATGATGCCCAGGGTAGGGTTTCTTGAGACCTTCGCACGACCACGAGGGTTTGTTCTTTGGTACCAGATATTCTTCCTTTCTGCTAGAAAACATTTTGTAGATCAGAACCATCAGCCCGGCGCCTACTGCGACACCGCCTGTAATTTTTTTATTTATTACTCTTTATTACACCCGAATTGTAATAGAATAAAGATTATTTATATAATACTAGCTACTCGCCCCGGCTTCGCACGGGTGTACATGTATTATATATATAAACCTTCCTCTACAATCACTCTATCTATTAAAAACACCGGTTCAAAATCCGTTGTGTAGTTTTAAAGATTTATTCCCTATATATATAGGGACGGACAGACAGCGACAGCGACTTTGTTTTATACTATGTAATAATGAAGAAGGTACAAAAAGCAGATTTGAATATGGTCAAGCGCAGTGACGGCTGACTCATCCGTCATATTCGTGAACGAGTGCTGCTTGTAGAGACTGGTCTGCTGTAATCGCTACAACTGACTTAATCTTATTTAGTTAACCAGTTGGTTGCGTATTTAATATTTTGACTCTTTGAATTTGAATGAGTAAGTGCTAGTTGGTAGTTTGTATTCACACATTTCAACTTAAAAATGTAAAGTTACAACTATTATTTAAAAAAGAGTAACACGCTAGTTTCTTTCTCGTTCTTCTTGTGATGAGACAGCTTTCCAAATGAGCGGTAGATTAAAAAAATAAGTAGAACTATAAGGAGACTGTAGGAGTACAAAACAGCTTAAATTATAGTTTATTTTAATAAAAAAATCTAATCTTTTCTTGTATACCTATTTGTAATTACATTCTTTACTTTGATTTTTGATATTTTATTATTATATATTATTATATTTCTTGCTCGTTTTTTTTATAACAAAACAGCTTTCCGAATAAACGGCATATTAAATAATATGTATATGAGTATTCAAAAGTGCTTCAATTTAAGTTTATTTAATTAAAATATATATATATTTATATATAGATGGAAGAAGTACATCATAATATTTACAACTTAATGTAACGTAAAATCTAGTGCTATATTTAGAGATTTTTATTGGTTAGTTTTTTTTTTACCAATACGGTATTCCTTCCATCTGACACAGAGTAATGACGAGGTCGCTTTAGCATTATAGAGAAAAACGTAGACTTACCAATCACCGGTAGCCAGCCTCCTATTCCATCACCACTATCGTTGTTATCCGGCGACTCATTCTATTCGTACATCTCTACTTATATTAAAGATTAGAATGGCTGAGGCCTGTCTTGATAGGCTGATGAGTAAGTACACTGTACATTGTAAAGTTTGTTTCAATATCTGATTTTTTATGAATATAATTACATTATTACATTTTCATTATGAATTTAGTAACGGTTTCAGATGACATAGACGTATATATGACAGTTCATGACTCAAAAATGTAAAATGGAAATAAAAAGAATAAAAAAGAAAATGATACAAAAGACGGCTGTATAGGCTTAGACCCTTTGCCTTGCCTATAAGTTTAAAAAAAATTAAAACTAAATTATATTAAAAAAAATAGACGTATATGACAATTTAGGACTCAAACACGAAAGTAAAAATAATGAAAATACAGAAATGTTACAAAAGACTAAGACGCTGTGCCTTTTCTATAAGGATAAATAAAATTAAAACTAAATTAATATTTAAAAAATAATTAAGGTTTTGACTAATGTGTTACCAAAGGCAATTCTATTATTTTCTCTGAGCTTTATTTTTTAATCAAATTAGGTACCTACCTACCTTTTTTAATTCTTTTATCTAATCCCTATTTTGATCTTCATTAACTTACACATTTTTGTGCCTCAATGAACCAATTACTAAAAAAAACTAAAATAATTTAGAAATATCTACTACCTAAACAAAATGATACAAAATATGCCTAAATATCAAATGAGAAAATACAATCAGTCACAGAATAATCTCTATCTAAATAGGTATATATAACTCAAAGGTGACTGACTGACATAGTGATCTATCAACGTACAGCCCAAGCCACTGGACGGATCGGGCTGAAATTTAGCATGCAGGTAAATGTTATGACGTAGGCATCCGCTAAGAAAGGATTTTGATTAATTCTAACCCCAAAGGGATAAAATAGGGGATGAAAGTTTATATGAAACTGTCAATTTTAAACCGATCGGGCCGAGACTTTACATGCATAAAGCTACTATGACGTAGACATCCCTAAGAAAGGATTTTGACCTTAAGGGGATAAATTATCGCAAGGAAAGCCGCGGGCAAATGCTAGTATTATAATAAATGTAAATTTAAAAAAAATGTATATACTTGCGCATTGTTAATATTAAACCTATAAATAAATATACCTTCTAATGTCATTCAAGAAGAATTTAAGAGTAATCTATGAGTTGTCACATGTCATCAACCATCGAAATGGATCCTACATAAGCATACTATTTTACAATATCCCACCAACTCCATAAAAAAACCCAAATTATACAATACACCAACATGAGATATTCACTGTAACAGTAAAAAGTAACCCAGCATGAGCGCCAGAGGTGGAACTCCAGCCAGACCAGGTAAGAACCCCACAAATATTGCTAGAGTTAGTACTCTTACCGTTGTAAGCAGAACTTTTCAATAACATGTGTAGCAGTTGGCCTCGGTGGTCTAGCGCTTTAACATACTACTTTCGATGGTCGGGGGTTCAATTCCTCGCACGGTGCATACATTTGTATTCATGATTGTTAGTATGGGCAATTATGTTATCTGTGGTATGGGTGTAGGTGTTTTCTATGTAGGTCTGTACCTATTTACGAAAACAATACATCTAGCTAGCGCAGACAAAATAAATACATAAGAAATAGTACACTCACCACTTCTTATCTATGTATTTATTTATATACTCGTAAATCTACGAGTATTTAAGTAAAAAAAAATATAGTTGTAACAAAAAAGTTTATAAGAAAATAAATTATATAGGTAATTAAGTATTATTATTAGTATAGTATATTACCTTGTGTGTGTTTTTTCATTCTTATTAAGAAACCAAAAACATTATGTCCTCAAAAATAGGTACGTTTTAGGAAACTTAATATCACAGTTTCACACGCAAGAAAAATACCACAGCATTTATTTTATTCTCCTTTTCACAGTCGACACAAAATAATAGTAAATCGGAACGTGTATTAAATTTCTGCGTCTAGTACCTACTGACTTTAATGCACATAAACACTTTACTATTAAAGACACGTATTTTCAGATATACTAAGCACTGCTACACTGCACATTCAGACGGTTGAACAATCCAAAAAACCCTAACCACTACAACATTTACGCGCGGTTACCAAAATACACTGTATGTTACACTACAGTTAACTACTTACTTTAAAAAAAAACATATTTTCATCTTGCAAGGAATCGAACCCACGACCATCGGAAGTGAGGCCGTGCTGTCAATTATTAAGAATTTACTAATTTAATATATTTTCTTCAGGGGGCGCAGCACCAGGCACTGGCGACCGAAACGGTATATCCTCCTGGCTTCCAATCATTGGAGGCTTAACCTTGGGCGTAGGACTTCTCGCCGTAATCATAAAACTGCTTTCTGGTGCTTCTGACGATAAGGCTAAATGCCTTAAGATAGACCCTAACAAGAGGAAGTGGCCTTTGGAAGATACCTCTAAAAGTTCATTCAGATAACACAGTTTTGTACTTTAATCACATTCTAAATAGAATAACTTTTACAATATCAAAGAATTGAGTTCTAAATGCCCTAAGATAGAACCTAACAAGAGGAAGTTGCCTTTGGAAGATACCTCTAAAAGTTCATTCAGATAACACAGTTTTGTACTTTAATCACATGAATAGACTAACTTTTTCAATAGCAAAAGATTCATATTCCGACAGTAAATATTTAAATATAGTAACTATATACAATACAAATATTACAAACTAGCTGTGCCCTAACACCAACCCTTATTTTTATATATAACCTACCTGCAGATTTTGACAAAAGGAACGCCACTACACATCCTATATCGTTGTAGCTCACTCATGCATAAACGAAATATCTCATTTGAAAAGTATACCTTCTATTCTGATATAAAATACTCGCTCCTAAAAATATCCTTCACCCCTCCGATCGATCCCCCATCCAATTCAAACGGGGATCGAAATTACGATGGCGTGATCCGAGGTTCGAACCCCTAGTGGTGCCCTCAGACTAAAGTCGTGTCCGTCAGGCGGGAGTTGGCTTTGAGCCACTCATAAGTCCTTCCTTTGGTTTGGAGTGTTATGGGACACAGTTACTAGATACATCAGAATAATAATTGCATTTAATAATGTCTAGTAAGACAAATTCGATATTGTCTACTAAGCACTGCTGTGTCTAAACTGTGTCACCCCACCTTACATTTTCCTATTGTTATTAAGTATATAAGATCATTAGTTCTATGTACATATTGTCAGTTTATTACCATCTGTAATATACATCGTCTCGACCAACAACATCGAATCATTTACCCGCAACAAGTGTCATATGTACTCCCCCTCTATTGTCCGGTGAAGCTGTAAAGGCCAGCTGCGGCCAACAGCATTAGAGTAGTCCGAAAAAACACTTACTTATTACTTATGGTTTTCAAGACTACTGTTGCATACTCCAATCGTAATTGACTAACTAAATTTTAATTCAAAAACAGCAACGTTTGAAATAACGTTTTTTTAAGTACAACAAAAAGAGGTGAGCACAATAGATCGATGCAGGTCACAGTGTTGGGTCACATTTTATTCTGCCACGTCAAGGAAACATAAATAAGAGACCACATCAATACATGATACTGTATTTGGAACAACGTTTCTCTCTTACCGCAATATAATATAAATTAGCTTGGTGAACGTCACTGATACAAAATATATATTAATTAATTATAATTAATCATAACTTATTTATAGGTACATCCGTCGCCGAACGCGCGACAATCTACGAAACATTTTGTTTATTTATTCCATAAAAGCCACCGCCGAAATGATACAGTCTAATTCCATTAATAATTACAAAATTTGTGAAATGAACTTTAAAGTCGAGACTGTAAAGTCTATTTTCCAAAATTTCTAATTATTCACATAATGCATTTTAATATTTAGCGTGCGAAATGTTAAGAGGATTCACACCGCTCACCACACAGCTCTGTATTATTTAAATTTATTTTCGTGGCTGCTTTTTATAGCTGTTTAGCTTGCCTTGCTAGCCTTGTACCTCGTGTTGTATGAAAGGTGTATGACAATGATGTAAGAAGACAAATAGGTACTATTTACCTGAAGTGTTATACTTAAAAAAACTTAATGACTGTGTATTATTCGCCAAAATTAAAATACAATTAAATACAAGTTTCTAAATATTACAGTTATATTTTTTAAATAATATTCACTAAAATATTACATATTAAAAAAAAAACTAGAAATTTTGAAATCGATTTCCTATTTGTATCATTTCATTTTAAATACAATTTCAACTGTGAACAACGTAAGGCAGAATTAAGTAACATTTTAAAACAATCACTTGAAAAAATACCAGATTTAATTAAAAAAATACAATTATTACATAAGTAAGTAATAAGTTTGGAAACATCTGTGTGAGCGCACACAATTTTTTTAAAGTCAGTTCTGGCCAAATTCGTAATTAAAAAAAAAGGGCTACTGTCCCATGAACCTATTTGTCTAATGACTGGGTGTATTTTATTAAAAACAAATAGATTTACCTATAAATATTACCAGGAAAGCGTTCTATGTATAAAAAATAAAATACAGTCGAAAAGAGATCCTCATTCTTTTATATACAGTTGATAATAAATTTGTTAAGAGATCACACACACAGAATATTTTTTATTCTCAGAATTAAAGTGACTTTAAATAATATTATGTGCAATAAACGTTATTATTATTATAATAAGCCTCAATTTCCTAATTGCATTTGAAATACAACAAAAGGCATTAACATTCAAAATTGAACCTTATATCAGAGACGTAAAGTTGAATATAACTAATTATATCCTGCTTATTTAAAATCGCCGTTCTCGGTACCAAGTCTCAATTTCCTGAGTAAATTTGAAATGCAACAAAAGAGGTTAACATTCAAAATTGAACCTTATATCAGAGACGTAAAGTTGAATATAACTAATTATATCCTGCTTATTTAAAATCGTTCTTACAAACGAAGAGTACAGCTGTCAGTGCTTCTCTTTTCTTCACATAATATTGAAGCAAAGTCAAAAGTAAACCCTATGATATGAAATTAAATTTATATTCTAAATATATTGCTTGTTATCAAATTAAAAAAAAACTATTGATAAGAAATGATCTGCGTGGCTGCGCCTCGCAATTCCGGCGGCGCATTACTATAACTAGTGGCGTTACAGATGTCTGTATATCTCGTCCCGTTTGTAACTCGGCCCGACTTTTTCTCGTGTTCTTTTCAATACAACCTGCAAGTTAATATAACATTGTACATTTATATTTTGCCATATAAATTAAAATCGCAATTAATATGTAGGGGTTGATGGTAGAAGGGTGAAAATTGGAGTTGACGAGTAGAAAACTGGTAGATATTTAAAAAAAAAACTAAAAATTTCTCAAAAAAATAATGTTAGAGAACACTGCTGAATATGCACATAAAATTACATAAAAATCGATCAAGCTATTTCAGAGAAGTATGGTAACAAACATTGTGACACGAGAATTTTATATATAAGACTAGCTACTCGCCCCGGCTTCACCCGGGTGTACATGTATTACACATATAAACCATCCTCTACAATCACTCTATCTATTAAAAAAAAACTGCTTCAAAATCTGTTGCGTAGTTTTAAAGATTTAAGCATACATAGGGACGGACAGACAGTGACTTTGTTTTATACTATGTAAGTAGGCAGTATATTGACGGTCGGTGGTCTAGCAGATTAGCACATTGCTACAACCAATGGTCGCAGCTTCAATCACTCATACAGTATAAACATTTGCATTCTTGATTGTATTACCTATATAAATATACATTGTAAATAAACTGGCTTTAAAAAAAAAGTAATTCAATTGAGTTTCTTGCCAGTTCTTCTCAATTGGATCTATATACCGAACTGGACGGTAGGGAAAAAATATAATGTAAAAACTTGACGTTCATAAGCGGCTAAAATAAAATGTCCTACATGAATAAATGATTTTTGAATTTGAATTTGAATTGATCTGGATGTTTTCTATATATATATTATGTATGTATTTACAAAAAACATGTACATAATTATTTCTATTAGTTGTATAGTACCCACACAAGCTCTGTTCAACTTGGGAGTAAATGGCACTGTGGGAATTATCCTTAAATATTATTATTATTATTGTTGTCTGTCACAATGTTTATTTGATAATAAAGTTCTGTATATATATAGAAAAATATAATTAGACATATATTTTCTTACTTTCAACTTGAGGCTGTACTTATAATTTGATTATCAGATCATTATGTATTTATTTATATATAATATTTATATATCTATGTTTATATTTATACATTTATTTATGTATGTTTATTATTATTATTAATTTTTATTGAAATTTATATTTAAAATATTTTGCTTTATATTTATATATATCTTTTTTTTTGACATTTCTCATTTATATTCGTGCACCGCCAACAATCTTTCTCTGCACCACTCGTGGTTGCCTGGTAGATAACGCCGCATGGTGTTAAGTTCGCCATATGTACACATTGTTTTTGTGCATTAAAGTTAAATAAATAAAAAAAATAAAAAATAAATATATCAACTATAAAAGTATATTATAAAAATCACGGGATCTTACCACGTTTTATATTTATTTGCTGAGTTCCCGATATTTCGGTAGTGTTTCAACCACCATGATCACGAGTAAACGTATAATTATATATATTATATGTATAAAACAGTATATAAAAGTATGTGGCCAGTACGTCGGCAACAATTATTATTAACCATACAACAAAAACAACATTGCTAAATCAGTCTAATCACTCCTCTCGATCCTAATATTGCCTGGAAGAGATCGCTGTTTAGCGATAAGGCCGCCCATTGTTACCTCCATATTATAATTATGTAGTTTTTCTTTTTATATCTGATGTACATATTAATTTATGTAACTGTTATATCTTTCTGTGAGAGGAACAATAAAGTGTTTTTCATTTCTCGGTGGTCTAGCGGTCTAGCACCCCGCTTTACGACCGATGGTCGCGGGTTCGATTCCTCGCACGGCACAAACATTTGTATTCATGAGTATGATTGTTTGTATCGGTCTGGGTGTTTTCTATGTATAATATGTATGTATTTACAAAAAATTTATATCATGTATATGTATCAGTTATCTAGTACCCATAACACAAGTTTTAGAATAGAAAATCATTTATTCAAATAATCTTACATTGAAGCACTTTTGAATAGTTATTACATTTTTTAATCTACCGCTCGTTCGGAAAGCTGTCTCATCACAAGAAGAACGAGCAAGAAACTTTTTTTTACTTAACTTTTTTTTAACTAGCTTAACTTGGGTCTAGATGGCGCTGTGTGAATTGTCCTGAGATTATTATAATATTATTATTATTTCGTTACAAAATTTGACTATGAATGTACTAAAAGGTATTATGCATCATACTTAGATAAAAAAAAACGCGATAACGCGATGACTGCGAACAGGGATGAATGGAAGCGAAAAACATATTACGCCGACCCCAAATAAATGGGATAAGGAAGAAGCAGATGATGATGATGATGATGATGATGACTTAGATAAACAAAAAATATTATTCTAACTCGCCTATTTTTGATGCTATTTCCTGGCTTGCAAAGCATTCGAGAGCCAATCCATCGCCTGGTCCAGTCCCTCCCCTCTCACTGCAGATGTCTTGAATATCTGGAAGGTGCGGTCACGCAACGCGTCCAGCCCCAGTGCCTGATGTACTTCCGCTACCGTCAAACATCCCGCCATGTCTTGTTTATTTGCTAATACCACGAGAATAGCATTTGCTAGTTCCTCTTCCTGCAATAGATTAGTGTTTCTTATTATAAAAAAATTAAAAGAAAAAATATCCAAATATCTTTATTCATGTACATAGGTCTATTACAGACTTATGATATGTGAAATGTACCGTCAGTTCGGAATGATTTCTAGATGAGAAAAACAAACAAGAAACTCAGATCATATTTTTTAAATTAATGTTATACATGTTTACAATAATACAGATTCATTTCTAAATTCAAATTTGGTTGAATGGAGTGACCACCAGCAGCAGCAGCAGCATCATCATCATCATCATCTCCAGGAATACATACACTGCTGGACATAGGCCTCCCCCAAAGACCACCAGCATATGCTATTGCAAAAGCAAATAGTCTAATCAGTGTTTGTACCTCGAACAGACCAGTCCATATAATTTTGTTTGTATAAATAGAATGACAAACAAGCTTGAACAATATTTATAATTTAGCAATGAGACACAAAGCGAGAGTGAGCTCAGCTTAGCTCATACAGCAGTAAAGGATGACCTACTGCAATAACCACAATTAATGAGGTGCAAACAATGCAATGATGATGATGATGATGATGATGATAATGATGATGACGATGGCGATGATGGTGATGATAAGACAATTTCAGCCACTTCTGTTCAAGTCCATGTCTAAGTTTATTTTCATTGTCCCTACAATGCCAGTACTAAGAAGTGGCAATAAACACAACTCATACACATTTTTATATTACACTAGCTGCACCTGCGATATTGTCCACATGGAATTTAACTTAAAAGATTATTTCTAAATTAAATTAGCCTAAGTTACTCTTTATTACATCAGCTACCTGCCAAAAAAAGTCCCGTCAAAATGGGTCCAGCCATTTCAGAGATTAGGCGGAAGTAATAGACAGATCTGTCTGTCACAGACAAAAAATGTTATTTTGGTGTATGTACCATATTTATATTCATTTGCATCTAGTAAAAAATTGTTATTTCAATATTACAAACAGACACTCGAATTTTATTTATATATGTATAGATATATACTCACTCTTAACATATGAACAAGTTCATCTTTAGATATCCCTATTCGATCTCTGTCTGCTGAATCTACAACATATATTATTGCATCTGTGTTTCCATAGTAACATCGCCAGTAAGGCCTGAAAAATTACACACATGTCAATGAAAAGAAATAAACATACATATAAAAACCATAGATTACTTAATACCAATAAATTATTATCTATGGTAATGTAAGTTATCTGTGGGAGCTAACTAATTACACAGACAATATTTATTGACACTTTATTGATTATAATATTAATGTGGTCAGTAATTAATTAGTTACTAAGTACTTATAAACTTTTTTGTCAACTTAGGTAGATAAAAAGTATTATTGTAACATTTAGATAAGATTACTAACACATTAAACACAGAGTACAGTTAAATAGAACAAATTTAATTCAAATAATGTAACAATTATTTATAAGTAGATTATCACATAACCTAAAACAATAAAAACTCACCTAATACTGGTCTGACCACCAAGATCCCACACTTGAAACTTAAGGTTTTTATACGTAACTTGCTCTACATTGAACCCGATCGTTGGTATTGTGGTGACAACCTCGCCGACTTGCAATTTATATAGAATTGTTGTCTTCCCGGCTCCGTCCAGTCCAAGGATCAAAATCCTCATTTCACGCGCCCCTAGCAACCCTCTGAAGTAACTAAACAGACCACCTGCAATTAAGTAATATTAGAACAACTTCATATGATGTTTCTGAGCAAAGAAACAACAATTAGTTCATAAAGTAACTCACCCATTTTCCGATAAGCCTAGCCTATTTTACATTAGATGTTACAACTAAGGAATGGTTATTTGTTCCCGCCCTTACATCCACTTGTTAATTATAATAAGATTTGTTATAATTTATTGTTTCTTGTAATAATAGTAGGGTTTAAGGAAAAATAATCAACATTTTACTGTAAAATAAGAAAATTCAGAGTTTAGACATGACAACTTGACGTTTGACGTGTAAGCAAGCAATCAAATTTTATGTTGCCATTTAAAAAAATGTCTCATTATAAGAAGTTTATGGTTAAAATTATCTTTTCATATCTCTATAGAATATAACAAACACATGTAAAATCGACAATAATACATGATAAAAAATATAATAGCGGTTTACCCATTTATGTACAAAAATAATGCATGCTGGAAGAAACAAACCTACCATTAAGAAGTGTGTCTCTTTCTAAAAGAGTGACCAAACAAAATAAATTTTGTAACTGAGTATCCATGACATTGTAACAGGATTTGAAAAGAAAAGAGGTTTAAAATTTTTAATATTAATTATTACATTGAAGAACTATATATAACCTGTAAGTGATTACCTTGCACGATACAAATGCGTTTAGTAAAATTTGTACTAACGGTTAAGCGCAAGTGTAACAGAAAAGACGTTGTAGAAAGCTATTTACGCGGGTATGTTGTTTTTACCATGTGTTTCTGTTTGATGAGTGCAATATGGTAATGAAATTATAGGCTACGAAGGCATGACAGTTATACCATAGGTAACATAATATGGTTATACCATTACCCTTATACAAAAAATATCCTTACAAAAATATCATAGCAAAGCTTTATATACACGTAAATAGTCTGTCTGCTGCAAAATAATTATTTTGTATCTTCTATAATAATTATGTTTTCATACACAATCATAAATGTTGTGATTTATCTAATTTAAAAATCGAAGTATTAATTTTTTTTTTATCTCAGCTGTGATGGATAACATTATCTCCTTTGATGCAATGTCGGTACGTTTCGTCAAGTATGGACAGGCGTAGTTATGGTCGAAATCGATGAAAAGGTTATGGTATTCCTAATCTAACATAAAAACTATAAATATAGGTTGTAGCAACTACAGGTTTACAGATAAATTCTGCTATTGACTGAGGTAATCTTTATACCTGCATAGGTTGCAAAGATCTCGATATGAATTTCCTTCAAGTAAAACGGAATGTTTGCTGGGACAAATAGTAGAGTAAAACTTAACTGACTAACTAAAAAAAAACTAAATTCTAAAAACACTAACTCTGTTTCATATCCTAAAGTTTATACCCGCATTTCAATAAAAGATAAAGCCTATACGTTATTATCAGCATAAGCTATATTACTGTAAAGTTTTATTAAAATCTGTACAGTAGTTTTTGCGTAACAAACATCTATACTCACAAAGTTTCGCGTTTTTAAGGTTTTTTTAAAATTATGTTTAAAAAATTTATTAATTAAATTCTTATAATCTCTTTTGTTCATTGTTAAAGTCTATGGTCAAATTGAGAATATTATTATTAATGCCAGGACAATTCACACAGCGCCATATAGTCCCAAGTTAAGCCAGCTAAAGCTTGTGTTATGGGTACTAGACAACTGATACAAATACATAGATATTTTTTTTGTAAATACATACATATTATACATAGAAAACACCCAGATCGATACAAACAATCATACTCATGAATACAAATGTTTGTGCCGTGCGAGGAATCGCACCCGCGACCATCGGTCGTAAAGCGGTATGTTAAACCGCTAGACCACCGAGGTCGTCGAGAATAGATTAATATTGTTTGTCTTTAATATTATTTTGTCTATAGTCTCACTGAATGTTAAATTTTAATTAATTATGATCGAATTCGAAATTCGATCATAATTAATTAAAATGCACTATGCGACTAATAGTAATAATAAAAGAGTCGAATTAAGGACCTTGCTCATTCTGAAGTCATTTGATAAGTAATCAAAACGGCTTAACATCAATGGAAGCAATCTTGATCGCCCGATCAAGCGAATCAAGTAGCCACGTTCACGATACAGTACGAGGAAAAGATAGTGTATAAATAAACATATTACTTTTTAGGTAAATTTCATAACATTATACAACATTTACAATAACATTTGAATATGTTAACTGTAAAGACGTGTTTACAGCGACCAATTGAAACCGATACCTGTATGCAGAGCTTTTTGTACGTGGAGAAAATCCCGCATGGTGACGCGACTGTCTCAGAGTTTTTTAAGGGGATTAAGAAATTTCAAAATTTAAAGTTCAAAACTCATTTATTCATGTAGGACATTTTAGCCGCTTATGAACGTCAAGTTTTTACATTATATATTTTTTTCCCTACCGTCCAGTTCGGTGTATAGATCCAATTGAGAAGAACTGGCAAGAAACTCAATTGAATTACTTTTTTTTTAAAAGCCAGTTTATTTACAATGTATAGGTATTTATATAGGTGTCTATGTCTAACATTAAATGAAAATCCCGTGCATGAACAACTATTTGCTATGCACGCTCGTCATTCAAGTAATCGTTTAGTGAGTTAGGCTTTGCTCAGTAAATATGATTTAACTGATGTTTTGAATTTATTTAAGGGTAATTCTAATACATCCTTTGGTATCTTATTGTAAATTTTTATACCTATTCCATAAAAGACCTAAAGAAGATTTTTCTAAACGATACTTGGGGGTATAAATCAAACCAAAATGACTTCTTCATTTAGGGCAGTAACTCAACTGAATTTCTTTCTTTTTTTTAATGAACTTTTATATAGTTATTGTTAGATCTAAATGTAAAAGACGTACTTTTCCAAATTATATTATGAAATGTCATTTTATTTTAAAAATAAATACAAACATACATATAATTTAGCAGCAATTCGTATATAAAAATATTGAGTTCCCTTGTCCCTGTAGATGACCTCCTAAAGGTCCTCCGCAAAAAGGTATGATGATATCTCTCGTCCAATATCCAGATATGATCTTTTTGACTCCAGAGTCAAAAAGATCATATGATATATGTATTTTCAGAATGGATGACTACAGGTAATAAACGAAGATAGTCAAAATTTTGATTACTGAAAAGATCTGCTTTTTAAAAAAAACGTATATTCTGAATAAATTTACACTTTAAAAAAATATAACTTATTGTCATAAACGTATTTGTGTTTAGCACAAATATTGTCAAAAAATATTAATAAATATTTTATCTATTACTTTAGCGCATGTGTGCCGCGTGTAATTTCCTACTTCAGGTGTTCATGGGCGGCGGTAATCACTTACCATCAAGTGAGATACAAGCTTTTTGTCCCCTATGTTATAAAATAACACAATTTACGAAGCAAGTGCTTGGCTTTTTGGCTGTACGTCATGTACACGCCTTACATGGTTTATAAAGAAAAAAAAATTCGCGCCTTAAGTACGCTATAGATGTGCCTTAATAACATGACTTGACTTTAAGAGGGCAGTTGGAGTCGTCACGCGCCGGCTTCCTTTGTGACAAATGGCCACTTGTGCTAATATTATAGATATATATTATATAAATATATATATAGATATTATATATCCACCTGTTTTGACAGGTTTCACACGTATGTAGATAGTAGAGTCTTGTGTATTGACTCATACAATAATACTCATGATAAGAATTGCAGTTTGGACTTGACTTGCTCAAAATTAGAATACAGTGTTGGTATTGTAAGACATAATTTATATGTCCATATATTATCTTTATGAAATGATTAAATAGGAAACTATCAAGTATTGTACTGACTATACAGCGCCATCTTACAATCAGTTAGATTAGAGACATTCGTGTTTATTTCATAACTTATTTATATTATAAAAATGTAATAATGATACAATATCTACAAGGAAATGCTAATTAATTATGGTATTTTCTAAAACCATTTTAAGTATTATATGTTCCACTATTTTGTATAATTGTAGTGTAATGATAGATAGAGGAAAGGAATGAAATGACTACCCTTTTTCTTAAAAAGGGGTAATCGGTTCAGAAAGTTAGTTAGTTACGCGCTGGAGTTAGAACAAAGAGGAACTTTGAATAAACGGCTTGCATATCGATTCACTGTTTTTATTATTGCCACCTGATTTCTTATAGTATGTAAGATTTTTTTATGGATGATAATGGAATGGTGCAACGCCTGCGGTAACGGTTTATGCTGGCGGGCACTAGTGGAGGATGATAAGATGAGCTTGAGGTCAGGTCATTTAGTCTTCGTGACAAATTCACCAAGAATTCACGATGGGTTCTAGGGGAAGAGTGGGTCAACCTGACATGGTACATTGCTTGCAATGAGATCATCAGTCCACATTATGTGTTTTTTTTTGTGTATGATAATGGAATGGTGCACCCGCCTGCGCTAACGGTTTACGCTGGCGGGGCACCAGTGGAGGATGACAGGATGAGCATGAGGTCAGGTCATTTAGCCCATAGTGACAAATTCACCAAGAATTTATCACGATGGTTTCCAGGGGGAACCGCGGTCGACCTAACATGGTACATTGCTAGCAATGGGAGTTACCCACATTATATGTTGTATATTATGTATGTATTTACAAAAATAATGTAGGTATTTATGTATCAGTTGTCTAGTACCCATAATACAAGCTCTGCTTATCTTCGGACTGGATGGCGTTCTTTGAATTGTCCAGAGTTCTTATTAATATTAAGATCAGTTAGCCCATTGTGATAAATTCACCAAGAATTCACCATGTTTTCTAGGGCGTGTGGAGTTCCACCTGACATTGTACTTTGTTAGCAATATGATCATCAGTCCACATTACTAACAATCCCCTTTCACAAATATCATGTAAGATTATATTCGTAGCAATTTGATATTTAATAAGAATCGTTATATTTAAATATCAATGTATAAATGTCGTGAAATAACTATTATATTTATAGTTCATTTGATTTTTTTTCGGACTACTCTAATGCTGTTGGCCGCAGCTGGCCTTTACAGCTTCACTGGACGATAGGGGGCGAGTGCAGATGGCACTCCAAACCCGCGGAAGGACTTATGGAGCGGCTGAAGGCCAACTCCCGCCTGACGGATACGACTTTAGTCTGAGGGCACCGCTAGTGGTTCGAACCTCAGCTCAGCCCGTCGTAATATCGATCCCCGTTTGAATTGAACGGGGGATCGATCGAAGGGGGGCAGTTCAT